CCAAGTCGCCGAACAATCGCTCCAAGACCCTCAAGTTGGCCCCTTGACGGCCCAAGAAGCCTCCAAGACGCCTCAAGAGGCCTCCAAGAGGCCTCCCGAGAGGACCCCAAGACGCCAAAATCATTTCCGCGACGTTGTTGAAGGTTTTTGGAGTTCTCGCCTTTTCGGCTCGCCCGTGCTCCCAGACGGCCCTATAGAGGCCCCCATGATCGCCAAGACGGCCCAAGAGGCCTCGAAGAGGGCGCCAAAACGGCCTAAGAGGGCCCCGAGACGGCCCAAGAGGTGCCCATGACAGCCAAAGAGGCCCCAAAGACGGCTCCAAGAGGGGGCCCAGATGGGAGCCCCGAGCGGATATTTTGAGCCCGCAGCCCCGAGGGTCCCCCCAGAAGGCCCCAAGAGGCCCCCAAGTGGCCCCGAAGAAGCTCCATCTAAGAGGCCCTCAAAAGGCCCCTAGAGGCCCCCAAGAGGCCCTCAAGAAAGAGACTTCAAGAACCCGAAAATTGCCCCCAAGAGGCCCCCGAGAGCGCTCTCAGAAGACCCCAGGAAGCATCGCTGAGAACTCTGACCCACCACCAATACACAGTGGCGGATGGGGCTGAAGGCCACTCGACATGTGCGTATGTCTATATGTTTGTCTGCCTGTGTGTATGTATGTATGTATGTATGTAGGTACGTACGTGCGTACGCACATATGTATGTATGTATGCATAATTGCACGTGTAGACATATGCGTATGTATGCGTGCATGCATGTCTGTCGATCTGCACATATGTATGTCTGTCTGGTTGTATATGTGTACGTATGTGTGTCTGCATGTATGTATGTAGGGATGTATGTAGTATGCATGAATGTGTGCATGCGTGTGTGTGTATACATGCATCGATGTATGTAGGTAGATATGGGTGTGTCTATATGTCTGTACGCATGGATGTATGACTGTATGCATGTATGCATGCAGGTATGACTGTATGTAGGCATGCTGGTGTATGTATATATGCATGTATGTTTGTATGTATGTATATATATATATGTGTATGTACGTGTGCCTGCATAAATGCTTGTCTGCATGCAAAGAAGTATACATCTGTATTCGCATGCGCACATGAATCTATGTGTATAGTGTATATGTACGTGTATCCCTGGACGCAGGCATGTGTATATAGTTGTGTATACTCATACGTTTGTATGTATGTATGTATGTATGTTTGTGTATTCACATGTGTATGTATATGCGTGGATTTGTGATAAAATATGCAGGTGTGTATCGACATGCACATACCTATGCAAATGTATGTGTAGGTGCGTCTGTCGACATATACATACATGTGTAGACGCGTATACACATGTATGCATACACGCAAACGTGTATGTCTGTAGAGGTGTGCGCATGTGTGTATGAATGTGTGTATGCATGCACGCATGAATGCATGCATGTCTGCATGCGTGCATGCATGTATGGACGTATGTATGTACGTGCTCGTGCGTGTACGTAAGAATGTGTGTATGTATGTGTGTGCATGTACGTGCATATGCATGTATGTATGTACGTGGGTATGCATGCGTGTACGTACGTTTGCATGTTTGTGCGAGTGTGCATGTGCGTATGTGTGTACGTTTGTGTAGGTTTTGTTGAACGGATATACTTATGTATGTGGGCGTGTCTGTGTGTATGTATGGATGTAGGTATGTATGTGTTTGTGTATGTCTATGTGTATGCAGGTGTGTATGCATGCATGAATGTATGTGCATCTATATACATGTATATATGTATAAATAACATATAAGTGTATATATATATATACATATATAGACACACAGGTCAATTGACTTTCTGACCGTCGCCGTACTAATGCAGGAGGCCTAAGAGGCTTGCTAGGCGCTTTGAGAAGCAGTTTTGACCCCTCTTGGGGGCTGCTTTGGCGTCTCTTGGGGCCTTTTGGGGGCCTCTTGGGGAGCTGGGGCCTTTTGGGATCGGAAGTTGGCGATTTTGGCTTCTTGGGACTCCCTAGGGAGGCCCCTTGGGGCATCTTGGAGCGAAACGGGGGCCTCCGGGACTGTCTTGGGGCCATCGTGGGCGGCTTGTAGCCCTCTTGGCCCAACTTGGGGCCCTCTGGAAGCCATCAGGAGCCGTCTTGGGCCCTTCAGGCGCGCTCGGGACCCAACGGCCCCCAGCGGGACGAAGGTCTAGCCCGATTAGTTCTGTACGTACAAAGGTACTCATTGTACAAGTACAGCTATAATTGTGTATATGTATATGTATATGTATCTGTGTATATACATATGTATGTCTATGTTATGTATGTATATATGTGTATATACATGTATATATGTATATATACATATACAAACATTTCCCAGCCGTCGCCGTACTAAATTGTTCTACGGTTCGGTGTATATGATCGGGTTGGGACGGCAATGGCGCGTGGTCGTTTGCGAGTTTCAAGGTCCGAGCTACTGGGGCCTCTTGGGGGCCTGGTTTGAGCCTCTTTGAAGCCTCTTT